CTCTCGGCTCGACCTCCCGGCTCCTGGATCCACGACTCACCTGGGCATGGTCTCTCGCTCGACCCCTTGGATTATTAAGCCTTCTGTCTTCGGTTCTGACCTTGGCCTGCACGACTAGGCCTCTTTGTCTACTCCTCCGGTCCCTTCAGTCATCTGCTCTTTGGTTTTGGACCCTGGCTCGTTGGACCACGACTCTGCGCCTGACGGACTCATCACCTGCCTGTCGCTGCAGCCCCTCACCGGACTCGGCTCCTCCAGCAGTGGTCTGGATCAGTTTGGACTTCTTCAGTCTCCAGAACCCCCAAGATCATCTGAGACGACTTGTCCCTGATCTGGAACCTGTACCTGAACCAGTCCAATCTGCAATATTTCACCTATAAATATAATTTAATTTTTACTTTGTGTGGTGATTTTGGTCCAAACATAAGGGGGTTCGTTACACATAAAAACCTAGATGACCTTAAATTTTTTGTTTTTAAACTCAGACAAGACAGAGGTCGTGGTTTTTGGACCCGAGCATCTTAAAAATAAATATTGCAGTCTTTCACTTTCTCTGGATGATATTAATCTGGCCTCCAGTTCTAAAATTAATAACTTTAGTGTTATTTTAGATCAGGATATGTATTTGAACCCCCCACATTAAAAATGTTACCAAAACCACCTGCATAATATCACTAAAATTAGAAACATCTTGACCAAAATTGATGCAGGAAAAACTGGTTCATGTATTTATCACATGTAGACTGGACTATTGCAATGGTTTTTTATCTGGGTGTCCACAAACCTCTTTAAAAAGTCTTCAGCTGATCCAAAATGCTGCTGCCAGATTTTAATGAAAATTGATAGAATCAGAATAAATATCCTGATGCATGCTCAATAATCCAGGTAGAAAAATCCAAAAAAGTTCAATCTGGTCCTCTGGACATTCAAAAAAACAAAAAACAAAACAAAGCAAAAAAATCTAGAAACGTTTCGTCTCTCATCCAAGAGACTTCCTCAGTCTGAGGTGCTGTATTCAGCTCAGTCTCTTAAATAGCACCTTCTCAGGGTGGATCAACCAGTTTGCTGCTGACAACCAAAACCAGCTGATCACATGCTCAAGAAGGACCATCAGCCTAACAATGGATCATTAGCACACTGATGGCTGTTTACTGTTCACAGAGGGCTGAGTGATACTAGCAATCACAGCATTGTAAGAGGGGGACAGTTGAACCCGGAGGCCTCCACCCCTGTTTAATGATGGACGATTTCTTTTCACAAAGATGGCCTCCTTCACTCCTCTCTCAAACCATCGTTCCTCTCTGTCCAGGATGTGCACAGGATAGGATATCCTAACTGGGCCTTCCTGAAAGCAGAGAAGAAACCCAAACAGGACTCCAGTCAGCCATCAGGTGAAAAGGAGGAACCCAGACCCAGACCAGTGGTCATTCCGTATGTTGAGGGAGTATCAGAGAAACTGAGACGTTTATTTTCTAAACATAACGTCCCAGTGGCTTTTAAACCCCAAAATACATTACAGAAAAGACTGGTTCATCCCAAAGATCCAGTCCCCCGGCACAAACAGAGCAATGTTGTGTATGCTGTTCAGTGTCAGGAGGGTGATCAGTCTTACATCGGGGAAACAAAACAGCCACTGGCCAAAAGGATGGACCAGCACAGAAGATCAACATCATCAGGCCAGGACTCTGCGGTCTACACTCATCTCCAGGCCAG